GCCAGGCCCCAGGTGATTCTTATATACACTAAGTTTAAGCCAGGACCAATTATGTCCTCTTTATTTTTTTATTTTATTTTTTTTTATCCTCACCCAAGGACACTTTTCCATTTTTTGTTCAGGTAGAGTGGGAGGGGGAGAGAGAGAGAGAGAGAAACATTGATGTGAAAGGGACACATTGAGTGGTTGCCACGCGCACGACCCAACCAGGGCTGGGTACAAACTGCAACCGAGGTACGTACCCTTAGCTGGAACCGAACCCAGGTCTCTCTGGACCACAGGCCAATGCTCTATCCGCTGAGCCAAACCGGCCAGGGCATGTCCTCTTTATTTTTAACCCAGTGATTTTAAATAGTGAATTTTATGTTTACTGAGGATGCTGAGTGAGAAGTTTTTTTTGTTAAAGGTTGCTTTTGAAGCCCTGGCCAGTTTGGCTTAGCAGTTATAGCGTCGGTCTGTGGACCAAAGAGTTGCGGATTCGGTTCCAGCCAAGGGCATGTACTTCGGTTGCGGTTTGTTCCCGGCCCTGGTTGGGATCATGTGGGAGGCAACCAATTGATGTATCCCTCTCACATTGATGTTTCTCTCTTTTGCTCTCCTCTGTCCCACTCTATCTGAAGATATTTGAGAAAATATCCTCCGGTGAGGATTTAAAAAAAAAAGGTTGCTTTTGAAATTCTTGTCACTTTTGCTTTATATCTAATTAGGACTAAAGAAATGCACAGGTTATTCTCTCAAGTCTTTTTATGAATTTCTTGTTGATATTTCTTATCTTTATTTTGTCCATTCCCACCCCCCCACTTTTTTTTTTTTTAATCCTCACCCGAGGACATTTTTCCATTCTTTGCACAGATAGAGTGGGAGGGAGAGAGAGAGAAACATCGACGTGAAAGGGACACATTGAGTGGCTGCCACCTGCACGACCAACCAGGGCCGGGGACAAACTGCAACCGAGATACATGCCCCCAGCGGGAACCGAACCTGGGCCTCTCCCGACCGCAGGCCGACGCTCTAACCGCTGAGCCAAACCGGCCAGGGCTCCCCCTTTTTTTATTATTGATTTTAGAGGGGAAGGGAGAGAGAGAAACATTGATGTGAGAGAGAAACACTGATCAGCTACCTCCCGCACACCCTCCACTGGGGATTGAACCTGCAACCCAGGCATGTGCCCCAGCCAGGAATTGAACTGGCCACCTTTTGGTGCATGGGGTGATGCCCAACCAAGTGAACCACACCAGCCAGGGCAGTACATTAGTTCCCTTTGCGCCGCCCCCCCCCCCCCCCCGTGAAATACATCTTCCTTTAATCCTGTGACTTAATTGTTATTAAAATACGTAGAAGCTTGATATTTCAAATATGTATGGAATAATGACATAAACATAAAATATTTTGGGAAGAAATTATTCTTGACTGCACCTTTTTCACTTTTCAGAGGGCAATGTCTTCCTTTGATTCAGAGGAGTTTTATCTCTAGTTCATTTTCTGTAGGGTTAATTCTTCTTATGTCTTCCTGCCTTTCTTTTGAAGTCATTCTTCCTTATATATTTGTTGACAAGCCATTAAAATATTTTCTTCCTCTTTAAGCAATCTGGCGTGCCTTGATCCAAAAATAATAGATTTATCCCAGCTGGCATGGCTCAGTGGTTGAGAGTTGACCCATGTACCAAGAGTTGCCAGTTAGATTCCTGGTCAGAACCTGTGTCCAGGTTGGAGGCTCGATCCCCAGGGAGGTGTGTGCAGAAGGGAGCTGATCCATGTTGATGTTTCTCTCTCATCGATGTTTCTCTCTCTTTCTCTCTGTCTACCTTTTTCTCTCTCTCAAATCAGTAAAAACATGTTTCAAAAAAATAATGGATTCGAACTTCAGTTTTCTAAGTTCTCTTTGACAGTCATCTGCATCATTAGATTTATTTAGTTCTTAAGTCAGAAGTCTAAAATCAAGCTGTCACGATGGCTGTGTTTTTTCTGGTGGCTTTAAGGGGACAGTCTACTTCCTTGCCTTTCTAGCTTCTGGAGACCACTCACATTCCTTGGTTTGTGGCCCCTTTTATCAAATTACATCATTTCAACCTATGTTTATATCACATCTACGTTTTTCCATTTGCTTTTATATTGGAAGCTTTTCGTATAAAAGTTAAATATCTAGAATAATCTGTGGTACAGCCCTGGCCAGTTTGGCTCAGCGGTTAGAGCGTTGGCCTGCGGTCCAGAGAGACCCGGGTTCGGTTCCCACTAAGGGCACGTACTTCGGTTGCAGTTTGTCCCCGGCCCTGGTTGGTCGTGCGGGTGGCAGCCACTCGATGTGTCCCTTCACGTCGATGTTTCTCTCTCTCTCTCCCTTCCTCTCTCTCCCTCCCACTCTATCTGTACAAAAAATGGAAAAATGTCCTCGGGTGAGGATAAAAAAAAAAAAAAAAATCTGTGGTACATTTACTTTTTATTACCCTTCTATAGAAGTCTTAATATTTAGTTTGAATTTGTCAAGTTGTGCACTCCTAATGTGGTATCTTGGTTTTCAGGTATTTATATTTTGCCAAGGTAATATCTAGATTTTACCTAATCAGGGACCTTATTCTGGATAGTTTGTTTGAGTTAGCTTTGAGACCACTTCAGCTTTCTTATTGTGTTTTCATATAGTGTGGGGCTATTTCCTCTCCATATAGAATAATATATAGGTCTACCTAGCATCTTGTACTTACTTTTAGCACAGTTTTTATTACATTGTACTGAGTTAAAATTTATAAAAAAATTTTTTTCCTCTTCATTGATTTTAGAGAGAGGAAGTGAGAGAGAGAGAGAGAGAGGGAGAGAGAGAGAAACATTGATGACAGAACATGGATTGGCTGCGTCCTGCATGACCCCCACTGGAGATCACGCCGACAACATGGGCATGTGTCCTGACTGGGACTCGAACTGGCGACCTCTTGGTGCATGGGTCAGTGTTCAACCACTGAGCCACACCGGCTGGACCTAAGTTACAATTCTTAACTTACCATTCTGAGATCTATTACACTGAGTTTTATGAGGGAGGACTGTAGCTTTATTATAGCCCTACTACCAAGCCCAGAAGAATGCATCCAGGTGGTATTTCTCTGTAACTGTTTGTTAAGTGAATAAACAATAGAAAAGGAGACTTGTTTTTAGATATTTGTTAGATTTCCAAGTGTAATATAGTGTTAAACTTTGAAAAACAGGAGGTTTGGGAAGATATGCAAAACTCAATATACCTGGAAAAAAATTCAGCTCAGTACCTTTCATTTTGGAATAGAGTAGTTGAACCTGGAAATATGGAGCATAGTGTAGACTAGGCGGGCAATTTTGTCTGATGGGCTTGAGGTATAAGATGTGTAGTTTAATTGAAGGTAGTGTATGTGGGAAGACATTATTATAAAAAGCAATTTTGCTAATTAATGAAGTGGCCCCTATTATTTTGGTAATCTGAAATACAGGAACATTTTTCTTTAAATAAATGTTTACTGTAATGCCAAGATGGTCTTCATCTACTAAATTAGTGTTCTACATTTTAAAAAAAGTAAGCTCATGGTTGAGCTAGTTGCTATTGCAAAGTAGTGCAGTATACACTTAAAACTGCTGTCTGTTTTTCCATGTGTCCCAACAATTTTTATATCCTGTTTTCCTTCCACAGTAAGGTAATTTCTTTTCAGGGGTCACAAATTACAAAAACAATAGTTGAGAGAAAATTGTTTTGCAGTAGCAAAACTGAGTTTGATTTGACACAAAAATGAATTCATTTTCTATAAAATACTATGCTTTGCGTTCAAACCTAAATATAAAAATTTGACATTAAGTACAATTAAAATAACAATACAAAGTCTATGAAAGAAAGGAAATTTAAGGTATAAATAATGTATGTTTTTCACGTATATCTTTATCTCTATCTCTGTCTCTATCCATCTATATCTATATATCTGTATCTATGTATCTATATCTATATCTATATCTATATCTATATCTATATCTATATCTATATCTATATCTATATATCACTACATGTCAGACTCAATAAAGAAAACAATGAACAAAGCAATAGGGCTGAATGACTATGGTATACATTGTGGGAGGCCCAATTGCTGAGGAGCCAATTCTAGACTGTAACTAAGTGGTTTTATTTTCTGCAGCTCTATTCTGAGGGGGTTGGGAAAGAAGGCCTTACACCTTATCAGAACCCAGGACATGAGGAGAAACTGTCTCATAAGAACCTAACAGAGGAGCTAGGAAAGTGAGCAGGAGATAAGTTTAGCAGTTTCTTGCCTGCCTTTCATCCTCTTGTGTTCCAGGAGGATCGCAGTATGCTCTGCCAGTACTCAGACTAGCTGAGGCTCAGGCCTGTGCCTGTGTGGACTGTGTAGATACGTGCAGTCACTGGGATGATGTGTCAAAGCTGTTTCCTTACATGTGTAAGCACAGACTATTAAAATTACTTAATTAAAATAATGAAAATGGAATTAGTTTTTTTCCATAGAAATATTGTTATACTTACAGAACTGCATTTCTTACTGGTTTCTGATATTGAACATTATTATAAATATAATGTTTTATTAGTTGAAATGATAGGCTTACGTCATGAGTAAGAAAATGTTCTGAAATATGTTAATACTAACTAGTCATATGTACTTTCATCTGATTTTCAGATCAATAACATGGTCATGTAGACTCAGCTAGATTAGTCATAGACCTTGTGGAAAAAAACTGAAGCTGCCACTGGAAGATGGCTCTGCCTCAGCCTGGGAGGCAGAGGCTAACTGCAGCCCATAGCAGTACATGTTAGAAAAGCAGCCTGAGAAGCAGTGTGGATTTTATGTTTCTGGCTCCAAATGCCCAAAAACAGTATGGGTAAAACTTGTAAGACACAGAAATTAGACTCCTTCGTATTTTTAAGTATAATTACTTATCTGATATACTCAGTGACAGTCCATAAGTTCTTGTTTTAAAAACCGAGTATTGCCATCAGTAAGCAGAAGATAAAAAGCGTAAATAGAGTGCTTGCTTAGGCAGCACATATAATAAAATTGGAACGATACAGAGAAGATTAGCCTAGCCCCTGTGCAAGGGTGATGACACGCAATTCGTGAAGCATTCCATATTTGGGGGTGGGGGGAGTATAAATAGAAAATATCAGACAAGCCTGGCTGGTGTGGCTCGGTAATTGAGCGTCGACCCAGGCACTAAGAGGTTGCGGTTCTATTCCTGTTCAGAGCACATGCCCAGGTTGTGGGCCAAATCCTCAGTGAGGGGCATGCAGGAGGTGGCCAATTGATGTTCTCTCTCACTGGTGTTTCTGTCTCTCTCCCTCTCCGTCTCAATAAAGAAAAAAAATTTAAAAAAAAGGAAAAGGAGAATATCAGACTATATGTAGGCATCTGGCTTAGTATTGTTTCAGGAAATTAGTATTTTAGGGGTGTGTGTGTGTGTTCATAGCAGCGGCCAATGTATAAACTATATTCGCTACTGTGCATTTTGGCTTAAAAAGTTTGAAACATTGTGATAGGTGACTCTTGACTATTTCAAATCTCATTGAAAATGTTCAATTTAAAAACTGAAATGTATTACCATGTAAGTCTAATTGGTTACTGAAATCTATAATGTGAACAAATTTGTTGATATTTCTTTGCAGTTAGCTTCTGGAATTTATAATTTTGCCTGCTCTCTGTGGAATCACCACACAGACACATTCCTTCAACAAGTTTCTTCTGGCAATGAAGCTGTAGTTCTAAATTCACTGGAACGAACCCTGCTATCTTTGAAAGGTACCGTTAAACTTCATGTGTTCATTTTTGAAATGACATACTTCAGAATAGTCACCAAATAGTTCTTCTGGATGGATTTTCTGTTCCTAGTCTCACTGAGAGAATAGAAGTTAATGTCTCCCTCAGAGACAAGAGCGTATTTGAAATGTGTGTGTGTTTTTTTTATGACAGTAGCTCTTCCTTTACTCTAATTGATGAAAGTGTGCAATGGTTTTGTTCACATTATTGTTGTCTCATGGCTCTGAATACATGCCTTTCAAGTACTTGTACTTTCCTTTTCTTCTACTTTATATTTCTCATGTATGGAATGTTAAGAGCTCCTACCCTATTGTCATGCCAACTCGCTTATCCAAAAGTCTTAGTTGAGCTCTTTGTCCCAGCTTTTCCCGCCCTGAGAGCTCAGGTTCCGTCTTGCTTGCTTGTACCTCAGGCTCACTTAGATTTTAGACAGTACCTGATGCGGTATCATCTTGGCCTGTGTTTTCCTGTGCTTTGCATGTAGGCATTCTCTCATTCTCTCTTTCTTTTTTAATCTTTGCCCAAGGATATGTTTTTATTGATTTTTTTTTTTTAGAGAGAGAGCAAGGGAGAGAGAGAAAAACATCAATATGAGAGAGAAACACCAATCGGTTGCCTCCTATATGTTCCTGACTGGGATTTGAACCCGCAACCTAGGTATGTGCCCTGGCCAGGAATTGAACCCACAATCTTTTGGTGTCGGGACGGTGCTTCAACCAACTGAGCTACCTGGCCAGGATAAAGCATTCTCTTAGCAAAAATCTCCATTGTTACTTTCCCTGAGCTGAGTTTTTTATCTTTCATGTATTTTGAGATTCCTTTCCTTTTTATTTTACTTATTTTTTATTCATTTATTTTTGTTACAGATGTTTCTCCTTTTTCATTCAATGACACCCTCCTCCTGATCCTGCCCTACCCTCCACCCAGATTGTTGTCTATGTCCATGGTTATGCATAAGTCCATATAAGTTCTTTGGTTTATCTATTCCCTCCCCCCTGTCCCCTGCTTCTGAGATTTGTCAGTCTGTACCCTACTTCTATGTCTCTGGGTCTGTTTTGTTCATTATATTCCACAAATAAGTGAGACCATGTGATATTTGTCTCTCTCTGATTAGCTTATTTTGCTTAGCATAATACTCTCCAGGTCTCTCCATGTTGTCTCAAAGAGTAAGAGATCTTTCTTACAGCCATATAGTATTTCGTTGTTAAATGTACCACAGCTTTTTTATCCACTCATCTATTGATGGACACTTGGGCTATTTCCATATCTTTTTAAAACACTCGCTTGGTTTGTTCTCTTTGTGGTCTAGTCTCTCTCCTTCTGTTCTTATTGCTAAGGCTCTTTTAGTTTGTGTTTCTTAGTTTGATCTCAAGCAGACTTTAGTTTTCTTTTACTATAGCTCATTTAGCATCCTTTTGTTTTATTCACAAGGCCTTTTATCATACCTACTCTAGTACCTTAAGATGCCATCATACTCTTGGCACTACTGTTACTTATATTAACCAGACAGTGGATGCACAAAACCCAAACCCTCAGCACATTTTGGTGAACCTTGTGCACAAAAGTGAATGAATTTAAAGGACTGTTAACAAATAAAATCCATTGTACAGGTGGTTATACAAGTATGGTTTTGTCAACATTCTTGAGGAAGAAATACAAATGCTTTAGAGAAAGATGTAAACTCAGAAAGAATCAGAAACTGATACAAGGTAATATAATAAAGTTGTAATTTCTGAATTTAATGATTAAGGGATTTTCATGAGTTCTTTTGATTATAGACTTGTCTTGCTTTACTGATTTCAGAGCTTAACTCCTATAAAAAGATTATAGCCCTACTCTATATTAGCCTGCTGTAAGCTTTTCAGTACCTTCCCATCTCAAGGTTATAGGTACACATTAGCATTTCTAAGGCATTTGAGCTGGGGAAAAAAAATCCCATCACATTTTTCTTTAAAACACTTGTTCTCTCCAGCTATACATTTGTATCCTGTTATGATGTAAGAAAGTCTTAGGACTGGAGTTTTTGTTACATATAATCTCTGAGTTTACACCTATTTGCATTTAGTATGTTTTAGACATTTATTATTCAACAAATTTATAGGCAGGTAGTTGGCACTGGGGAGACACACATAATGAAATGACCACACAAATACATGTAAAATGACATCTGTGGCAGGGGCCTTACTGATAGTTAGGATAATGATAATGTGGTCAGAAAAGACTTCCCTGACAAAGTGAAGTTTGAATCAAAATCATAAAATCAAAGTTAACTAGGCATTGAAGGCAGGAAAAAAGGACCCTCCCAGGTAGTATGGGCCAAGGTCCTTTGGTACGAAAGGACACATCCAGAATAAAGGATAAGTTTGAACCCAATTTACTTCTGTTAGGATGTAGTAGCTTTTGAGTGTACATAATTGATGTATGAAATTGTTGGTCTTGTAGATAGGTGCATTCTAAACTGATTCTTAATATGCTGCTTTAGACTTCACCTCATGAACGCTGACATAGATAGAAATGCTGTATGTAAAGTTGTTTTCTCAAAATGAAGTGACTTTAAATTTTGTAGTCTCGTATGCTGCCATTCAGTTACTGAATTGTGCTAAGTGTTTTACATATATGGTACTACTAAATTCTTTAATAATCCTATGAGGTAGGACTTATTAGCCACATTTTACAGATAAGGAATGTGAGCTTGAGAAAAGTTTCCCAAAACAATATAGTTATAGACATTTGAGCTATGATTTAAATCTAGATCTTACTTCAGATCTATTATCCTTCTAGTCTCCCTTATGTACACCAATTTATTCATAAAATGTGATGCTTAAAATTTAGCACTATAGTCTATTCCATATTTGGAAATAGAGTAATTTTTATATCCCTTTTAGGAGATCCTGTATTTTCATTAATGTACCCTAAGACTGAATGAAGCGTTCTGATCACTTTTAAGGCATAGTTTAAAGTTTATGGAATACAGAAAGGTAACCTTCTCAATTTCAACCGATAAGGGATTATTGCAGGTGAGAAGTACTGACAGTTATAGAAATTAAGCTAAATTTTGCAATATAGTTTTAGAAACATAAATAGTTATGATGAGAACAATGCTTTTGAGTCAGAAGAACTTGGCTTTAGTTCCATCTTTCCCACTTAGTAAACCGAGCAATGATTAGAGGTTACCTTTTTGAATCTGTTAAATGTAAGGATTATAACCCCCAAGTTTGATGAGGTTTTGTGTTTCTGAATTTTTTATTATTATGATCATGATTTTAGTAGGATAAAATATGAAAAAATTAGATGCAAGTAAAGCTTGATTTTACTTTTCAGTGCTGCGTAAGTTAACTGTTAATGGATTTGTGGAACCTCATAAGAATATGGAGGTGATGGTAAGTGAAAGAAGTGATTGATTTTTTTGTGACTGGAAAAATGTTTGGTATATTCCTGAAAAATTAGAAGCTTATTTTTTTTACTTGGCATTCATTTAAATGTTTTTATTACGTGACAATCTGTAAGTTTTTGTTAAAAATTATTTTGTGTTAATTATACTTTTAGACTTGGGGTTTGTTTTCACTACATCAAAGCAGCTGTTCTTTGAAGGAGAGAAAATAGGCCTAAGATAGTTTTCAAGGTGTCATGGTACATATAGAGTGTTCTTTTCAATTTTAATTCAAGTGAACTGTGAATTTGATGGTATTATAACATTTTCAGGTGTGTCATAGTTATTTATAGTCTTGATATTTTCCTTTGTTTGTTTTTATATATTTAAAATGATTTTTTTCTTTTCATTGTATATTTATACATTCTCTTTGCAATCAATTACAAATATATATATATACAAGAGGGGAAAATCTCATTGATAAACCCAAATAGTGATGATGTATTTGGTATAGTGTCATCTACTTTTCTGTATGCAAAAATATATAACTACATATGCAATTGTATTATTCTTACTCAGATATATATTAGTTTTCACACTGAGTTTAGGTCAGCTAAAATGTTGCTTTCTGTGGATTGATTTAGTGGACCACACAGAAATTTTGCAAAAAGTGCATCTAATTGGGTCTTTGGGTCTACTCTAGATTTGACCAGAGCACTCTTTTTGCAGGGACTTGGGAGTATATTGGTAAGATTTTGATTGAAATAATGGTTCAGTTGTTAAAAGAAGTTAAACATGGCTAATATACATTATTATAATCTGATGACTGTTTTGTTCTATAAAAGTATTACATGCTTATTTATTTTTAAAAAGTATATATTTTTTCTTTATTGATTTTAGAGAAAGAGGAAGGGAGAGGGAGAGAGAGATAGAAACATCCATGAGCAAGAACA